GGGGGGGGGGGAACACAAAAAAGTGACTGTTCCTTCTAAAAATGAAATATAATATATACAAGTATACCTTGTTTTAGGATCTGACTGCAGAACTGCAAAGTTGCATCCACTTGGATCTGTGCTGACGCTAACAGCTCTGTGGGCAAAAGTAAGTTTCTCAAGTCGAATTCTTTCATATACACTATTTACATCAGAGACACAGGACACATCTGATGAGGAATTATGAAGGTTTGATAAAATCTCTGCTAAAAAGAAAAATAAATTCCCATTAATCAAGGCTTTATTAAAACTATTAAAATGATTTCAGAGTAAATGAAATAGAAAAGCAATTAGGAGAATATAGAAATATCTTTTGTATGTATTAAATCCATTTGAAAAACCACATCCTCTTTCTCTTTAACACAATTTGCACCCTATATATTGATTGTATTATACATGAAATTTTGGTGGGTCAATTCTCAATTATCCATGAATTTCTCCCTTTCACCAAAATTCCCCCGCATTGCAACCAAAGCTATCTTTCTACAAAGCAAATCTAGTATTAAACTACCTTTTTAAATTCCTCAGCTTGCATTAACAATATATAAACTTAGCATCTTCATAATTGATTGCTTATTTGTTCTCTTCTTTCCTCCTCCCCCTTTCTTCCATTTATTCAGCAAATATCAGAGTGACCACACTATGCTACTGCAATGCAGTGATCATCAGTCTACCTGGAATGATATAGTGAACAAGATAGGCATGTCCCTACCATCTCGGAGTGCACTTACAGCAGAAAAGACAAACATTACATAGTGATATCATTACAAGTCATATCAAGGCTATGAAAGAAAAGTATGAAATTTGCATGAAAAAAAATGATTCTACCTACAGTATGAAGTATGGTTAAAGTAAATAAAACCAAAGACAAAGAGATTATTTAGAAAACTAAGAGTCCAGAAAAAACAATAAACGATATAGATTGAGGATGTAGAAATGAACCTGTAGAAAAGTGGAATGACTTCAGAAATACTTGAGACAAAAGTGACAAAACACGGTGACTAAATGGATATAGAGGGTAAGGGAATATGGGGTGTCAAAGATAGCCATTTACTTAAGTTGAAACACTGAAAAACAGATGTGGGTGTGTGAGTTCAGTTTTAGACCACTAAATATGACTAAAATACAATTCTAAGGACTTCAACATTTGTAGTCAAACCTGTAAACCTGGTTCCTCTATCAAATTCACTCTATTTTAGTCTCAGGGGCTTTACTAATCTTCCCCCAACACTCAGTTATTCCAGTTTCTATACTCTCAAAAAACTTATTATGTGAATATTAGTATTTGTCTCCATGAACTGCAAATATTTATATACATAGTCTATGCCCCTACAAATTTATGAGTGTCTCAGAACAGGGGCCCATCTTATATATTTTTGTATTATTAAAATCTAGCCCTCTATCTGGCATATATAATTTTCTGAATAATTATAAATGTTCTTTATATATTTTTAGCATACAAAAACTGATTTGTTCATTCAGCAGATGACTTCTATGTGCCAGGAAATATCTTGAATGCTAAGAATATAGAACAGACATGGTCCTTGCCATCTTATAGGAGACAAGCACTTAAAAAATTAATCACAAAGATAAATACATAAAAACAAGTAAAAATAAGTTGCATGATAAAAATACAAAGGGAATAAATACTAAAAGTGAAACAAGATAACTCAGTTTAGATTAAGGAATCAGTGAAAAACAACTCTGATGAAGTATAAATGAAGCTTAGATATGAAAACTTAGGAAAGGCCCTGGGACTAATCACAACTGGACAGGGTCAATGTGACTGGAGAGTGGTAAGTGAAGGGAAGAAAATTCCAGATGAATTCAGAGACATAGACAAGAGTCGCAGCAGGGGCCTGGGGCCTTATGGGCCATGTGTTGGTAATGAGCAAACCATTAAAGACTTTTGAAATACAGGAATATTAGGATCAGGTCTTAAAAGCTCACTCTGGTAAACACTTGAGAATAGATAAAAAGAAACAGGAGTGGAAATAAGAAAATTATTTTTACAGTAGTCCATGTGACAGGCTAGGGTGGGAGCAATGAGATGTAAAATGATAAATACTAGTTTTTCTGAGAGGAAAAAAAATCAACTGATTATTATTTATGGATAAAAGAAAAAGTCACTAACCTAAGCTAAAAAACAATGTAGGTAATCCACAAGTTTATAAATTTATAATCGGATAATTAAGAAAGAACTATATAATGAATAATTTCTATTTTCACTGGTGGCATCTTAAAGCTATTCTTTATATTCATCAAGAAATGAATAAAAAACTTGTCTTCAATTATTCAGCAATTGTTTTAAAAAGCTGTACTTTATTTTAAATTCTCAATGAACGTACAAACTTTACTCTTCCTGTGATTTTCCTTTAAGTCATGAGTTATACCTTTTAAAACTTTAATTTTATATATACAAGTGTGTAAAAAAACAAAAATATAGCATAAGCTACTAAATTCTCAATTTGGAGAGAAACACAAAAATGGGAGCTTGGAAGATGGTTCACAACCATCTGGAAGTTGTTTTTGTTTGTTTGTTTTTTTAACTTTACACTTCCCTATCCCTAAAATAAAGGCTAGCAATTAGCAATAGCAAGCCACCGTTACTGATGAGAATGTACCATGACCTCAGGGTATGCAGGGACAGATAAAAAATTGAAAACTCCACATTTAAGCAGATCAAATTCCTTCTGTTTACCTGCACATACACCCAAATCAAAAGAAAACCTAGTAACACTTAATTAAATCTAATAATAAATCTTGTGAAATTAAAGATTAACTGAAAAGAACTTTTATGTATGAACTGACCTTTCTTTTCAGAACTCTTTCTTTTTTCTTCAAACCATTTCCCTCTAAATCCTTCTCCATCCTGGGTGACAAATAAAATTTCATTCCTATTTAAAGCAATATCAGAAATGAAGACTTGTCGTGGATAAGCCCATCGACACTGCTTCAGAGAACTGCTGACTGATCTCCAGCAAAACACCTAAAATAAACCAAATTACATTGGAATAAAAAGCAATAGAGCATCTGATTAACCAAAAACTGAAATCAAGAGGTAATATTTCTAAAATAAAAGCTCTCATTAATATGTTTCAATGTTCATTCTGTAGAAAAACACAGATACCATAAAAGTCAAGATGGTTTTAAAGAACTGTGTCTTTCAGAAAAACTACATCAAGCAAACAGGAAGCATTAAATATGCTTCAAAGACACTCCTCTTAAGAAATAATTTTCAGGCCCGGCCGGGCATGGCTCAGCAGTTGAGCGTCGACCTAGGATTCAGGTGATTGGGGTTCGATTCCCGGTCGGGGCACATGCCCGGGTTGTGGGCTCGATCAATGACTCTCTCATCATTGGTGTTTCTATCTCTCTCTCTCCCCCTCCTTTCCTCTCTCTGAAATCAATAAAAATATATTTTAAAAAAAAAAAGAAAGAATTTTCAGTCCAGCCGGGTGTGGCTCAGCGGTTGAGCATAGACCTAGGATCCAGGCGATCAGGGTTCGATTCCTGGTCAGGGCACATACCCGGGTTGTGGGCTTGATCAATGACCCTCTCATCATTGATGTTTCTACCTCTCTGCCTCTCCTTTCCTATATATTTAAAAAATAATAATAATAAAAATAAATAAATAAAAAGAAATAATTTTCAGTATTGCTTGTTTGGGGCATATAGAGCAGCTACAATGCTAAAGAAAACCAAAAATCTTAAAAGTAAAANGTTGTGGGCTTGATCAATGACCCTCTCATCATTGATGTTTCTACCTCTCTGCCTCTCCTTTCCTATATATTTAAAAAATAATAATAATAAAAATAAATAAATAAAAAGAAATAATTTTCAGTATTGCTTGTTTGGGGCATATAGAGCAGCTACAATGCTAAAGAAAACCAAAAATCTTAAAAGTAAAACTTAGATACCAGATTTGTTGTAATATCTATTTACAAGAATAATGAAAATCATTCTGTGAAAGTCCAAATTTGACTCTAAAGACAAAAAAGACATATGTATAACTAAATTATATAACTATAACAAAATTTTAGAGACAGAAATAATCATCATAGAGTTCAATGGCTTTCTAGTGGTTCTGCAAACTACAGTGTTCCTGAAAAATGGCTTAGGGGCTGCTGCTCAAAGACACTGAAAATGATGAGATTGGGTGCTGGGTTTCCCAATCCAGCTTTATCCAGAGCAGCAACCCTTTTAAATCTGCTTTATAGATTGCCATTCCAAATAAGATTTCATTTGAAAAATTAACACTATTGATTTAAAAGTTAAATCCCCTCATAACTAAGAAAAGTAAAGCACAAAATGGTATCTGCCAAAATCACTCAAAAGTTATGTACACACAAAAAAAGGGGGCTCTATTGATTGAATAATTCCTTCACAGTTTGGTTTTTATTAGTAAGACTAAATTTTACAGAAAGTAAATATCCAGAGTTATAAGCTAGATCCATATAAATGAAACACCCCAAAGTTAAATGTAAGTTTTTTATACTCAAGTTTTTATGTAATCCCATACCTCTGCTCCCTTCCATAAGTACAAATTCAAGCTCTAATTGTTAAATATAGTTCCGTCTATTAAAATAATGAACAATAGATTTATGCCTGTACTGTACCAGTAGGTGAAGCTTTATGATTTTAACTCTTCAAATTCTAAAATGTCAAAATTTACAGCACTTTATAAACCACAGAAAAACATTCTTATTGTATGATTTATTTTATAAGCAAAAAGCAGAAAGCAATCTGTTTTCCCAGTCAGAGTAAAATTCTTTCAGTCTACTAATGTATAATATATATTTTTAAATTAACAGTTTTATTAAAGAAATATACTGATATATTTTCACAGGGAACTAAAATTAAAACTCTATAGTATTTACTTAAGTGATGAGATAAGATACTTTATATAGCGATCTTTTATATACATTATCTTTTATAATCTCTGCATATATATGTGTGTGCTTGTATATATATGTGTATATAATGTATACATTTGTTTAAAGCTGAATCTGGGGAAAATTTTCCAATTATGCATCAAATTTTTAATATTGCCTGCTTAACTTTTTTTAAAGAGTATTTAGATAACATACCTCATATCTATGTAATTCAGTATCACTTATCAATACTGTGTATATATAAAACACCCCATCAAAATCCTTTACTTATTTCCATTTTAAGCACAGTATATGAATTTTAAACTATAGCTTAACAAAGCAGTACTATGCAACATTAGTTAAATGTCATCATACTTTCTTTAAAATAATCAGCTCCATACTAATTAGTACTGGATGTCAATATAAACTGAGAAACAGTCAATAGAAGTCATCACTATCATTGAAATACATTTACACATTATCAGGTCCTCTACTGCTAACAACTGACAGTAAGATTACTACACTTTTGCATAAATATATATATACTCACCCTTCCAGCTCCATCCATTGCAAGAATACAAATTTTTTCACCCCCATTTTCTTTCAAATGTTCAGGATCAACCTTGTATTCCATACGTCCCCCAGACACAAGGACCTTTTTCAAGTTTAGCTGCCTGGGTAAAAAGAAAAAGTCTAGATTAATATGTTCTCTAAAATACAAATGGCTCAATTTTAAAGAACCCAGGGCGATTATTATGAAAGGTAAAGTAAAATGATTTAGCCTTTGGTATCCTTAGTCCCTCCTTTTCTATAAGTTTCCCCTTCACATGGCTGTTTCTTTCTGTAGCAATCCTTTCCTCTCAAAAGCCTCTACACACATTAAACATCTAAAGCCCTGCCTGCTGATGTCACGCATGCACTCAAGTTTAAATAACAGATAAAGCTAAAAACTCCTAAGTGTATTTGCATTTTAACAGAAAAGAAAAATTTTAAACTTCAAAACAATATAGAAATCCTTAGTTTCAAATATGAACAACCATAAATAGATATAGCTACCATGAAAATCATCAATATTGTTAATTTAATAACTCATCCACTAACCACACATTTCATTATATCTGCACATGTGATGTGCCTATAGTATTGTATGAAACCTGCCTGCTGCTACTCCAATGATTATCCTCCCTCTTATTTAAGGTATTTTGCCTACAATTTAAGATTTTTTCATTTCAAAATTACCATGTTGTAACAATCTGCAACAAAAGAATTTTCTTAGTGAAAACTTGGATATGACATATTTATGTAATTTAATGTTAATCAGGGCAAGTTTTATAAATGTTAACTAAAAACCTTCATATTCCACAAATTACTTCCTACTCACAAAAAATCTACTCAGTTCTAAGAAACATGTATGTTCACATTTTCATGTTTCTGTAACTGAAATATGACCTATAATAGATAAGTTTCTAATTATTATACACAGAAGTTGTAACAAATTGATGATCACATTTTCTGCTCCTGAGCTAATTTCAGGGATGGTATTTATTTATGAAGAAGTTACCATATCATTTACATTAGCAAAAGTACATTTTATTGCATTTCATTTTCAACGTCTGATTACTTTTAAAGTTAGATGGTTGCTCTCTAGAATTCCTGCACACTACTGCTTCCACTAATTGAGCTATACTTTTCTAGGGTCAAAGATCTATTTCTCTACTTGTATTTATTACTACAATTATATAGTATAAAGAAATATATAAACCGATAAGACAGTCTGAAAAAAATGTTTTCTATAAAAGTTAAGTACTTTGGAATGACATGATAACTATGAGTAGCAAAAAAAAAATCAATTATAAAAGAGTGAAATGTATGAAAATTATAGTATTCTCCACATAACTTACTTCACAATTGTTTTTAAGCACTTGTTCTTTAAATCATTCAAAATAAAATCATAGGTGACACATTATAAATATGACATACAGGAAATACAGGGAAGTCCAATTGGTAGACCCACACAGACTTAAACCTTCACGTTATGATTCTCCACTTTAACTGGCTTTTTGATTAGCCAACCAACTGCTAGTTTACTGAATGCTACTATAACATGCATTCAGATAACAGTAGGCTATACAAAGATTAAAAATATACCGGTTAGGTAAAAACACCTGGACTGGGTCCATGGTATGTGATTTCTTTTTAAAATAAATAAATGCACAATGTAAAAAAGAATACACATGAACCAATGATGACTGTATCACAAACCAAGAATTAAAATTAATCTAGTTCTGTTACAAGAACCATAAAAAAGAAAATTTATAAGTCATATTTAACTATATGTTACCATAATTCAGAAATATTGTTTTATAACTTACAAAGAACTTTTACAGATATCCACTGGATGCTTGCCAAAAGACTAAGATCATCAAAGATAAAAACTCCTAACTTCCCCACCATTCCATTTTCTCCATTTGACATTTCAGAGCATAGCCTAAAGCTGATAATGATATTTGCTAGAAGAGTTGAACTATTATTAAAGTTCTGTTTCTTTCACAGAAGTACACATACTTAGAAGCCATCTTCTTGCACTGATAGTCTGTAAGTAAGTAAATATCTCCCCTTGTGGTAACACAGACTGTGGCCCCATCACTTGCAGCAACCAAAGATAGAGTGATGTCCTTATGATGAAGGGCAGAGACTTGGCGAGGAGCAGTTACACACTTTTCTCCATTGGGATCTAGCAAATAACCTAAAAAAGTTACACAAATAAACAAATCACAAAACATCCATTTTAAGAATCCAATTTACTTTTCAGATAGTGTTGTCAAAGATTTCTTACCCAGTTGTCCACCATTTAGTCCCATAGTGTAAACAGCTTCTCTAGTCCATAACACTGTATGAAACCTGCCTGCTGCTACTCCAATGATTGTCCTTCCTTTGAGATATTTTGCCTGCATCTATTCCAAAAGACAAATAAGACTGCAGTTTACTATATATCTATGAACTAGTACAATTTTGCAAAGATACAGTAGAACAGAGTAGCAAATATATGGCATATGTGCTACCAGTGCCCCTTCAAGTACTAATGGTAATTGTCACTAATAGATGTCAACACTGAGACCCCAACTCTTCTCAGAATACAAGACATTTTGATGCAGCCACTTTATGTCAGCAGTTTTAATACATAAAAAGCAATATGCAAAACAGGTAATCTCATTCTTATTAGAAAATATGGTGCTTTTAAATTTGACATATCCAGGGTCTCCCAACAGTGGCACGAATAGCATTTTGGGCCAGATGATTCTTTGCTGTCAGGGATCGTCTTGTGCATTGTAGGAGATTTGGCAGCATCCCTAAACTCTAACCTGCTAGATGCCAGTAGTACCACTCCCACACCTGTCCCAGCTGTAACAACTAAAAATGTCTCTAGACATGGCCAAACATATCCTGGGGAGCAAAACTGCCCCCAATTGAGAATACTAGATATGGGTCCCTATCAATTTAGAGCTCTGACATAGTCACCCAATGAGAATAAAAATGGAGTAAAAATCTACCACTCCTAAAGTCTACAAAAAGATTAAATATCCACAAATTCCACAGTTGGAGAAAATGGATCTTTAAAAAACTACCAGATTGGATGCCCTGGCCAGGTGGTACAGTTGGCTGGAGTGCTATCCTGTGCATCAAAGGGCTGCAGGTTCAATTCCCAGTCAGGGCACTAGGTTGCAGGTTAAATCCCCAGTCAGGGCAGCAAGTACAGGAGGCAACCGATCTATGTTTCTCTTGCATGGATGCATGTCTCTCTCACTGTCTCTCTCTCCCTGTGTGTGTGTCTCTCTCACTCCCTCCCCCTTCCTCTTTCTAAACATATCCTCAGCTGAGGATTGGAGGAGTGGGGGAGGAGTACCACAGATTGGAGACTACCTCCAATTATTTTGGGGTAATTCTTATTGATTCATTAGCCATCCCAAATGGAAAATCAATGGATCTAAAAGTTTATTAATAAAAAATATATATCTAATAAGAATTTTAAATAAAAGGATTAAATCCAGTGAAGAGATTTAACATCTAAACTACAAAATATTATGAGCTGAACACATTTATTATGGATAATGATTCTAGTAACATATTTAGAGCACCAGTCCCAGTTCTGTGTACTAGGTCTGTCCCTGAAGTTGAGAAAAGGGTACCTTTCTGGTAGTGGCTGTACAAATTGGAGGGGGAAACTAGAACAAAGAGCAGTAGCTTTTGGACCTATATCCCTTCACATCAACTTGCTAGGTGTGATTTCTGCACAGAGGTAGATTTACCATGAAGCTAATAAGCTTAGGCTTCCAGGTGCCTCACTTGCATAGCCCATTTTGTATTTATAAACTCGGTGTTATTATATTAATTTCTTTTTTTGTTGTTAATCTTCACTCAAGGATATTTTTTCCATTGATTTTGAGAGAGAATGGG